GGAACAAATGCCAGCAATATTTTCAATACAAAATCTCAAAAATCTCTCACAAATATCTGGTGATTGTTCAACTTCATATGAGATGCGAGGATTAATTATTGAATTTATAGTGCTAAATAAGATTTTAGGGGTATGAGAATGTTTATTGATAATATCAGAAAAGGATTTAGCTCTAGCTATTTTTGCTGCCTTCTGAAAGTTCTCCAGGAATTCTTTAAAAATGTCAACAGAGACAGTAAGATGATCTTTTTTTCCATCGCCGCTATGCTTTTCGACAAATCTGTCTAAACGAACGAATGGAGTCATCCAGCCATGGTTGTGATTTAAATTTTGGACATTTATATTTCATGGGAGCTATAAAATCCAGGATATCTGAACAGGAAGAATTAAAGAGAGAAATTAGATCATCTGGACTTGAGGAATGTTCAGCAGCAACTGAAATTGCTGTGGACACTTCATTACTATGATACATATCTGAAAACTGATTAGCAATGAGAGAGTTGATGCAACGAGAATAAAAACCTGTAGTTTTTATAGTATCCAAAAAGCTAGATAGGGTGACATTAAATACAATGGGCTTATGATCTGAAAAGCAAGCATCTTCAATGTTTATGTTATCAATGGAAAACCCATAAGACATGATAAGGTCCAGGGTGTGGCCAAGTACATGTGTACCCCTATCAACATGCTGAATAAAACCAAAAGAATCTAAAACATGGATAAACTCAGCAACCATGGGCTTTCCAGGACAGCAAACGTGAATATTAAAATCACCTAAAATTAACAGACGATCATATGATGTGATAATATGAGAAACAAATTCAGAAAGCTCTTTTATAAAATGTTTATCTGGCTTTGGGGGCCTGTAGACCAAAACACAGAATAGCGGAGTGGTAGCAGAATCTATCAGAACACATTGAGATTAAAAAGTGGTAAAGTTCCCAACAGAGACAGTCCGAGATTTTAGATATAGGCTTTATGGACAGATAAGTTGAGAGTGACTCTTGAAGGACCAGCACCACATCCTCTTGTACCACTGTTAGAAGAATTTATCTTCCAGAATCTGGCAGTAAATTTTAGGGGCTCGTTTTTGTCAGTCTCTGGAAGACAGACTTTTCAGGATAGGAGATGGACTAAAAATGAACTCCCAAAACTTACTGCAACATGGAGCTAAGGAGAAAAATTTAGAACTTAAAAAATAGGACTTTCTGTTTGCTTTTAAACTGTAAACGCTTTTCACAATTTTTTTTTTACATTTCTTTTCTTTATTTTTTTTTGCAGATTTGCACGTTCATGAAATATTTTCAAAAAATACTGACGTTTTGAGCAGCTGCATTCCTCTAGGTCAGGGGTAGGCAAGTTCGGTCCTAGAGAGCCGCAGTCCTGCAGAGTTTAGCTCCAACCCTAATCAAACACACCTGAACAAGCTAAGCAATGTCTTCAGGATTACTAAGGCTATAGGCAGGTGAGTTTTTTTTCAGGGTTGGAGCTGAACTCTGCAGGACTGCGGCTCTCTAGGACCGAACTTGCCTACCCCTGCTCTAGGTCAAAGATGAAAAAAATGGACTTACAATAAAAAGTAATTTACAAAATTATTTTGACTTGAGTTTATTTATTAATGAGTAACAACTCTTTTGAGTGAATGTGCAAATTTTTAACGTTAACAGGTTTTACCATGTTATTACAACATTTAACCACTTTTTATTAATTTAAAAATTGAGAAATTCTTTCAAATTTAAATCTTGTACAAGAACTACAGCAAAAACCAGGTTGATGCATATTTTATCAATATCTTAAAAACTGAATTTGAAAATTACCAATACAGACAATGGATTTCATTAAATTCCTTTGAACACAACTGCTCAAAACGGTCTAAATTTATGAAACCTACACATTCAAAACACTGTTACTCTGAAAGTTTTAATGTAAATGCTAAGTGTAAGTGAACTGTTAAGTAATGTAAGGTCTTTCGTGACACTACATATGCTGAGGTGTGAATTTGATAGGTGCTTGATGTAAAATAAATGGTGCTTTAAAAAGTCCTTGAATCTGGTGTTCATGAAAGAGTGGGAACCCTGTACTAGAGAATTGTGAAGTGTGACATAAAATACCTCTGTAAATAAATACTATTTAAATTCACGTCTCGCACACTTTAATGTCCTTTGTATGGAACATATACACTCGCTTCGAACTGGAATCATGGCGGTCTAAATTTATGAAACCTACACATTCAAAACACTGTTACTCTGAAAGTTTTAATGTAAATGCTAAGTGTAAGTGAACTGTTAAGTAATGTAAGGTCTTTCGTGACACTACATATGCTGAGGTGTGAATTTGATAGGTGCTTGATGTAAAATAAATGGTGCTTTAAAAAGTCCTTGAATCTGGTGTTCATGAAAGAGTGGGAACCCTGTTTATAGCAAACTTCTCAAGGTGCTTACACACAAAACAGAAGAACATTAAAACAAATGTAAACATGCATAGAAAAAGATTAAAAGTAAGTAAAGTCTATCCTAAAAAAATAGGTCTTAAGCCCCGTTCACACCAAGAACGATAACTATAAAGATAACGATATTAGCGTTCACACCAGCAAACGATATCGTCTGTTTATTCTAAGTGCACATGCATCTGCTGCTTTAAATTCTTGAGCTCGCTATAGCAGGATGGATTCTGATTGGCTGTCAATGTTTGTATCGTTCATCAGCTGGAAAAAATCGTTCTGAAAGCGATTTCAACAAAATCGTTTCTCTGTGCCTTTATCGTTATAGTTGTGGTGTGGAGACTGCTATTCTTTAATATTGAGAACGATTTTTAGAACGATATCTTTATCGTTATCTTTATAGTTATTGTGCTTGGTGTGAACAGGGCTTAAAAGTCTGTGTGAACCGGAAGTTGCTGCCGACTTTATTTCAGTGTGACCGTTCCAACTTAAACAAAATTTTGAATAGAGAGTGGGGTTTTATTTTAGTGCTCCTCCTCTCTGTCTCTCACTCATAGCAGCCTAACGGTTGGAGATTACCAAGACAAACAAATTTTTTTTCAGTTAATTAACTCGCACTTATTAATTGTTTACCTCAAGATTAGCAATGTGCGCTAAGTAAAAAAAGTCTGTTTTGATTTCATGAGGACTTTTAAGAAAAAATTTAAATAAATGAAGATACTCGGCTTCTCTAATATGAGTAGGGATATTGTAGTTAAAAAATATTGGCGGATAGGGTTTATTGTGTTTGTTCGGCTCTTTTTCTTTGTTTTCCTGCCCTAAATATGTGGACCTCTGAACTTGGTTCTATTCAACCAAGATTGTCCCATATGCCACCCAAAACTTGCATACGTAGACACGTCTACCCAACATTAGGTTTCTGCAAGATTCCCCATTCTGTCAAACATATTTTATTGTGCTTGGTGTGAACAGGGCTTAAAAGTCTGTGTGAACCGGAAGTTGCTGCCGACTTTATTTCAGTGTGACCGTTCCAACTTAAACAAAATTTTGAATAGAGAGTGGGGTTTTATTTTAGTGCTCCTCCTCTCTGTCTCTCACTCATAGCAGCCTAACGGTTGGAGATTACCAAGACAAACAAAAAAATTTTTTCAGTTAATTAACTCGCACTTATTAATTGTTTACCTCAAGATTAGCAATGTGCGCTAAGTAAAAAAAGTCTGTTTTGATTTCATGAGGACTTTTAAGAAAAAATTTAAATAAATGAAGATACTCGGCTTCTCTAATATGAGTAGGGATATTGTAGTTAAAAAATATTGGCGGATAGGGTTTATTGTGTTTGTTCGGCTCTTTTTCTTTGTTTTCCTGCCCTAAATATGTGGACCTCTGAACTTGGTTCTATTCAACCAAGATTGTCCCATATGCCACCCAAAACTTGCATACGTAGACACGTCTACCCAACATTAGGTTTCTGCAAGATTCCCCATTCTGTCAAACATATTTTATTGGACTGTCCTGCTTTTAATGTATATAGAAAACTATTTTATGAAGTGAACTGAAAGAGTTATTTATTATAATTTTGCCAGAAAATGTTTTAGAAATTTTATCATGTTAATGTAAAAAATCGTGTGTAATATAACTTGTGCTTTTTTGTTTGCTGGTTTTTATTGTATTTGTTATACTTGTGTTTTTTTAATTGTTTTTGCCATGAAAATAGCCTAACATGCTGACATGGGATTAAATAAAAAATATTAAATAAAAATATACTACTACTACTACTACCCAACATTAGGTGGCTCTAAAAGAAATTTATTTTTGCTAACAACTCCAAAACCTTCTCCTGTTTACAATATTTTTGATATCTCATAGATAGATATCCCATTGTTATATGGATTTAAGTTTCCATTTGTATGTTTAAATTTTTATAAACTTGAATTTATCCTCGGCTTGGCATACTTAGGAATGTATCATTGATTTATTATGTAGATTGATTTATTATATCATTGCTGTGTATTACGTAGACATACATCCAACAAAAGCTTATCAGAAGAGTTTTGATCCATTTAATAATTTAACCAATGTGGGCCCAAATATTTGTGCATGTGGCCCATAATGACAAATTAGCTTATGTCTTATGAACACAATGTTCAAACTTCACTAAGCTTGGTGCAAATGGACAAAAGTAAATTCTGAGGAAATGTGCCAAATTTCATAAATTTCCATTGCTAGGGGGGAGTGGTAAAACTAAAGAATAACCCTATGTGTACAGTGTGTTGGCAGAAATACAACTGTACAGTATACACATGATCAAAAGCATCTTTTGTTTTTTAATGTACACAAGTTTCAGTTTTTGATATTTTCCATTTTCCAACTGCTGAAAATTGCTGCTTGTGGCTATATTGAGTTTAATGGTTTTGCAAAGAGTAGAATGAGCGTGTAAAGCACACACTTAATTTTGTGTTGTTGAGAGCCTCAATCATGTTTTTGTGTCTTATATGTACAGATGTGACTTGGTCATCCTTGCTGAATTTTGTTGTATTTTCTTGTCCCTTCTTTGGTTTAGGTGTCTGGCTCTAATGCAACCCCTGTTCCTCCATTAGAGGTCGGCGAGGTGGAAAATGGAGCTCAAGTTTTGGGGAACGGCAGCATGGCTTCGTTTTCTTCCTCACTTCCAGGAGAACTCCAGGGCGGGGGCCGCATGGATCGCAGCGCCTCTTATCAGCTCACTCCAGCTTCGGCTGCTGCTGGCGGGGACAACATGAGCAGAGAGAGATCTCACCACACGCTTGCAGATCTCAAACGCCAGAGAGCAGCAGCTAAACTGCAGAAACATCCAGCACCTCCGATACCCCTGTCTGCAGACCCTCCGGATGAGGTCGTTCCTGAAGGACCCCAGGGACCGCTGGAGCCCCCTGAATCAGTACAACAGGATGTGTCCCCCAGTGCAGTGTACTTTACCCAAGCTAGTGGAGATCCACCTCTGCTGAAGCTGAGAGCACCAGAAGAAGACACAACTAATACGAAAGAGCCATGCTGTGGACTCATGTAGAAGCAGTGGACGAACATGTTTAGTTTCATGTGATTGTGCAGTTCCTGTGTACTACGTGGACAAACTAGAATTATAAGGCAGGTATGTGGAAATGGGTTTTGTGTCCAAGTCACGCTTTCGCTCACAATGGCACATAGACAGATTGAAGTCACGTTTTCAACACTAACATGAATAATTGCACCAAACATTTGATGATGGACTATGTTGCTTTCTGAATGGATAACACAAGAAATCAGAAAAAAGAAGACCAAAGCACCCACATTTAGATAATTTCCTTGATTTAATTGCATTATTGCAGTATTTCAATCTTTTAAGATCATATCATTTTATTTTAATTAGTTGTTATGGTCATTAAAGTTCAATACATAGAGAAAAAAACTGACACTGAGCACTTTACTTGACCAAACTTTCAGCAATCTTCATAACTTTGATGAATATACATGTAGACGTATACTGATCACAAAAAAGCACATTTGAATTGCGCTGATCAAAATAAAGTTGCATTTCATTCACAGTTCTGCTGTAATCTTACAACTAGCATGCTTACTCTTGTTCTTTATTCACACCTGGTGGCACCATTTCATAATGCTTACTGCTTTCAACAAACTCGTATCCCAGCATCTGTCTATTTGTTTATTGCCTTTGAGATTGAACTTAAGCTAATTGTAATGTAAATAAATTATTAAAAATATATATTTATTTTATAAAAAGATGCACAGAGGTGTGTGTACCTTTTAGATTGTTTTTCTTCTAACCTTCTCAATTACATTTTTTCCCCCCACATTTTTATTTTGTTCGTCACACTTTGTTGTAATGCATCAATAGAAACAATAAAACCAAAATGAAAAATACAGTAAATACTTCTTGGTCTGAATACCCTCTGTCAGTTTGGTGTAGAAAATCTCAATTTCAAACACCTAATTTTTTTGCTTTGTTTAAAATCGTAAAATAAGAATTCAACTTTTCGTTTTTTTTCATGTATAAAAATGAGGTTACAGCTTTAATATTTTACTCGCATTGTGGACAGTGAATTAGTAGCTGGATTCTGACTTCTTTAATAATTTAATAATAAGAGGGTTAGTTTCTAACATATATTTCAAAACATCATTTGTAACATTCAATTAGACTAATTATTGTAATCTTAATACTGCTGGATTATCTCTAACACTGTTTTACATCTGAATCTTTGCTGAAATGCTCCTCAGATCACATCATTTTTATTTCTTCTTTTTTTAGTATCAAAGACTTACCAAGGAACATAATACTCTTAGACACAATTCAAATTATAAACTGTACATACAGCATTTCATGTATTCCTTTAGTAAGTTAATTTTCATTATGACGTAAAAGAAATGGTCATTTAGTGCCGCCCACACATGCAAATCAAATATTTAAGCTGTAAACTCATTTTTCTTTTCTTTTTTTTTAACCAATGGACCAAAAAAAAAAAGAATCAAGCTGAATTTTCTTTAGTGAATTCTCATTTTTCCAATAAAATGGATAAAAAGTATGCAGACCCAAAAACTTTTGTTTGATTTTAGTGTGTTTTCAATTGGAACAAAGTGTGATGAAAAAAATTAAAAACGTATAGCCTATGAAAATGTGATGAATGGTTTATGCGTTTTTCCATTTTGAAGACAAAAACTAATTATCTGAAGGTACGCATAGCAACTGACTAAATTGCTACCAGGATCAAATTAAAACCATTACTCAATTATTCCATCTATTCATTATTTGTTTTTTAACCATGACAAGAAAAAAAGTTTTTTAGTATTTTTCTTATGAATATTCATTGAGATTTAAATAGAATGAGTGATGGAAACACTGTTTTCGTAATGATTGGCAGAAACAGACAGATGACTTTCAAAAATATCTTAAGCTTTAGCACTTTGAGACTTAAGTTTAATAATGTAGTGCTGCTTTAATTACGAGAAGATTAGCTTTGACTATTTAACCATCTAATATATTTTTTTTAATAATGGACATTTTGTCCCACGAATGCACATGCAAAGTCTTATAGGTGTAAAATGTTTTTTTTTTTGCACCTTGTTTACCTGTTCTGATCTCATCAAGCGCTCTAGTTCTTTGTTTTGATGCTTCAGTCTTAAAATGACAAGAAAATGTGTCCGTGTCCTAAACGCAATACCAAAGAGTTTTATTCTATGAGGTTTGGCTTGGTGATTTTTATATATTTTTTTTACTTAATAATAATAATCGCAACAATTCAGCAACATCCACTCTTTGTCTTACATAACTTTATTACACTGGAGTCTCTCTCTGTTTCAAACTATGGTCTGTAAAATGCTTGTATTGATTTCATTGATCTTTTTTATTATTTATTTAATGAACTTTGTGAACCGTTTGTGTGATGATGTTCTAGATACGTTAGGATGTATAGACTCGATGAAAAGCAGATGCTAAATGACATTATTGAGATTTATGAATCTCAAAACATTTCGCATTTATCAAATATCCTGATCATTTGGGAATTACATATAAGCGACTTTATATTCTAGAAAGCTGTGTAAAATTGATATTCCAGAATGTGACAACTAACATGGTACTACAGAAGCTCAGCTGAGTAATTTCTAGGTGCAATAGTCCATTTGGATGCTGAAGTCTATATTTAGTATAAATTGATAAACACTTTTTCAGGGTTATTTATTTAATTTTTTTTTGTTTTTTGTATATTTGGACTTGAAATATCTCTGGACTGTGTAATCTGGACTCTACCATGAAACACGTGCAAATATTTCATCTTGATATGCAGTGTTTACTTTAGAACAGCACTTTTCACAATATAAAATGCCTTAAATGTAAAATTCTGGGTTTTTTTGGACATCCATTTTGTACATTTCTGTGTCATCTACATCCTCTGATCAATTTAACACTGATGTCTGTAAATATATTGAGAGACTAAAACCAGGTTTGAATAAAATGCACTTGCATACTGAAATTGATATAAATAATTGAGTTCTTGAGAAATGATTCCTCTCTGGTCTGAGCAGGATGTAGGTTTCCTATTTGGTGTGTTGGCATTTAATGCCCCCAACAACTTCTGTAGTCCCATTTAGCCACTTGTTAGCAAACGTCACTTATCCAGGACCGGGTCAGCGTTGAAAAATGGATAGATGGGATGGATTGCCTTGTTCATGTTTTCTCACACACTGGATGCTTGGCTAATTGAATTCTCCTCCCTTTATTCAGGAGATCCTCCCACTAACTGTCACAAGTCTTCAGTGATTGGCTCATCAGGAATGGGCTGAGTGGGACTAAAGAAAGGTGGCTTTTCCCCCACATACTTAAAATAGTTTATTAAAAACAATGCAAGAAATGTTCAAGTCTTTCTTTATTTAAGCTTAATAACTTGCAAGTGTCCTCTCAACATTCCCAGTATTTTTTTCTTTAAGATGAAAAAGAATGAAATTGCATCTCGTCTCTGAGAAAAAGAACAGAAATTAGTTATTTTCAACATTTCACTCACACGCATGCGGAGTAGAATCTATTTTTATATGGCAGTTGAGAGGACAATTCAGTCTTCAGAGACAATTCAGACAATTCTCCTTCATTCAGTTAGTTTAAGCTTCAGATGAGCTTTTACAATATTTACACTCTCACACCCCGGAAGACATTTCTCCAGGAATCCTCATGTTTTTATGGCAGTTATTATACACAAATATACAATAAAACATTGCTACTCTTGAATACTCTTGAAGTTTTATAAGTACATATTGATACACAGTAGATACTAGTATTCGTGAAATCTGACAAATCATGACAAAAATTGTGTCTAGTACATTTGTTTTTTGTTACAAGTACATTTGTTTTTTGTTACAAATACATTTAGACCTTTGCATACAGACGATAATAATATACATAAAGAAACATTGTTCTGCTCTGTTGCTGTTGGCATGTATTACAGCTGATACATTCTGAGAAATACTTTTCTGAAACCTATTAGTGACCGAAAAAACTTTCAAAACAAGCTTTGATTTAATGGCAGCCTGTTCATCAAGCAAGTCGTGGAAAGAAGAAAACTGGTGTTACATTTTTCTGGGATATCCCCCCATATCTGGGATATATTGAAATGTTCATAACAAACCACCAGAAATGACATAGAGTTGCATCATTGAGGAAAATTCTTATTTGCAGTGAGCTTTAGCTGAACCTGATTATTCAGATATCATTCAATCTATCAGTCAAACAGACTGAAAATTACTACATATTTCTGTAATAACTCTTTAGACAGAGAAATGTATGGTTTAAAATCACACCGAAGGAGAAAATTGCTAAAACACTGGAACTCAGTGAATGAAATACACAGTGATTGGAATGAAATGTTGGAATGTGACAAGGCAATATATTTCAAATACGGGAGCAGCTAGATTGTCCTTAATAATTCCTCTCAGCATCTATCAAGTTGGTAGTTTGTTAACAGAAGAGTTGCAGTGGCTCAAAAACATGCAAAGCAAATTATCAATTGCCTGAAACGGGGCTGAAGATGTTGTAGGTTGGAATGTCCCCGTTCACATTGCAAATAAGAACAAATCACCCAGTGAGAATGTGTCATTCTTTGGAGTCTTGCACATACTCTGTATTTAGTGTAGATGTGTGATCATGTTTTTAAAGAATCCATTATATTTACATTATCAGAGAATACTTGACCGTATTGTATGTATTTTAGGATAGTGTTATACAGTATATATATTCACTATGCATATATATTTTACTATGTATAATTTTGCTAATAGAGCCAATTTTTTGGCTGTACTGTAATTCATAAGATTACGCACATTTACCACTAAAGTAACTTTTGGAACAGGCTGATCATTGGTGAATGTAAGGTAGCTTTGAAGGCACAAGAAAATATGCAAAAACATAATTTTGAACTGAGCTAACAAATATTGCTAATTTATCTTTACTTGATTTGACTAAAATTGAAGTTTGCAAGGATACTTTTTTTAATTATTATTATTGTGATGAGACAATATTTGCAAACATGTGGCCAGGTGTAGTGTTTGTATGGAAAAGCACACACATTCCTGCTGATCATATAGATATTTTAAATCTCAGAAGATTTTTCCCAAACTCATCAGATCACTGTTAAATTAAGTACCCACTGAGTACTACTCACTTTATTTCAGTTACTGGCTCATTCCTTTTCTACAGTATTTATTTTTTAATTTTAAAAGTTGAAAAGGTTAAAAATGCTTAAGTTGTAATTAAATGAAGTAATTCTATAAAAAGGTACATTAGACTTCTACAAATATGCTCTGGCTAGTCTCATTCTCTTAAACCTTATTTAGAATAGTGTGAGTATTTATATAATGGCATGAACAGGTCTCCATTATGCCTTAGAAAAAAAGTGCTAACGTTAGCCAAGAGAGACATCAGGTTAGCTTACATGAGGGTGTCAAAAATTTTGCTTATATATATATATATATATATATATACTGCATATATTGAATTAGATTTCTAATTGAATCAATCAGAATATCACAGAATACTTTTAAGACCTGGGTTTTGTTAGTTAAAGGGATATTATAAAAGTCTAATAATAACATGTCCATATGTACAATTTGAGTTTGAATTTTTGCGTCTGACATTATGGTGACATGAAAACGTACATCAGAGTTGAGATGGCCCAGTCTGACTCTGTATTTTCAGTGTAAATGAAACGCATTCATTACATTCAGTGGGCTGTGCATGAGAATCAATAAGCAGCATGGAGCTGATATGTTGTTTCTTATGATTATGATTTATGAGCAGGGTCATTCTTGATATTCGGTGCCTTTTGTGTCCCCAATAAAGACCTTACTGCCATAAAATGTTGTATAATATACATTTTTTATAATTTACTGCCAGATATGTTTTTAAATGGACAAAATGGATCTGGATTTTTTAAAGATATACACAATGCCCATACATTAAAATCATATGTCTTTAAAACTGTTGTTCACTTGTTCCTATAACAGGGCATGAATGCTTCAATTTATTAGTAACACTTTATTTTGATAGTCCAATTTAGCTGGGTACGTAATCAGATTCCAAAAAAATATGTATTTGTAATTAGATTAAATTACATTTTAAAATACTCATAATCAGACTACAATTACTTTTTTATTGATTACATGACTACATATTATTTTTAAATGATTTATTTTAATTTTGCATTTTTATGATGTAATAAATGATTAGCTTTTCCTTAAATTCACAAACTCCCTGCTGTTCCTTCACAAACCCCAGTTTGGGAAACTTTGACGTAATGTAATATTTAATGCACTTGATTTTGTTAATAACAACGGATGGAATATTTTCTTTTTCTTGTATTTTTACATCAATATGGTATAAAATTATCCTACACTCTAAAAAATGCTGGGTTAAATATAACATTTTTTAGTGTGTATTTAAATCAGTATGATAAACGAGTTACCTAAAATGTGTAATGTAATGGATTATGTAACTACAATTTTTGTAACAGACTACAATTCTCAAGTATTCTACCCAGCTCTGACTATAAGTGACTTAAGTACATGTCCATTTATTCTACTAACCTTAACCCTAACCTGATAGTCTACTAAATACACTCATGAGAGTTAGTTGACCTATTTGCAAAGTCATTTATAGTTAGAAGAATGTCTAGTGTGGTCCATCAAAATAAAGTGTAACCAAATCATTTGCCTGAACTTGACCAAAATCATTTTTCAAATGTTTTACATCTCTTTATGATTACACAAAAAGTTATTTTAAAGAACGGTTTGATTTTCTCATTTTATGATGTCCAATAGCACAGAATACCAGAAATTACCCAATAAATACACATTTTCCCCCTCAAAATGCTTGCTTATTTCTGAATGTAAATCTAATTCGGAAATGTTTTTATTAAAATAATAAAGTAAAACCACTTCAAACGATAAAACCTTGAACCATACGTGTCAGTATTAAGTCCACTTTGACATCAGGCAGTAGATCATAAAGAAAAAAATACTGTATGGATTATTGTAACATAAAAATGATTGGAAATTTGATTTTGACTATTGTGCTTTTGTATGGTTTGTTTTACCCATTACGACTGTATGTATTAGTGTCAGTACAACTTTTGTTTTAATTCTTAACCCCAAAAATGTATTTGTGCTTATATCTGGCCGTGTTATTTATTTCTACAGTCAAAGGGCAAAATAGTGCTGTCATATACATTATATACATACTACATATTTATCCTCAGCTCAGTGCATTCAAACGGTGTTCCACTTATGCTTAAGATTTACAAATGAAATATAATACATATTTTACTAAACTTACCTTGCCTTGCCTCACTCAGCAATGTGCTTATGAAAAGTATAACTACATTAAACACATACGAGCAATGCCTTATTTTTTTGTTATGGAAAAGTACATTCATATGGTTATGCATGTTTTTTACCTATTATAGATGGCAGTAAAAGCAGCAAGATTATAGATATCAGACTAGCATGAGGGTAAACATGGAATGCTAGCAGACATTCTACTGCAAGAGAATACGTTGTTTTGGGATTTCCACTGGGACATCCGTAAATATTTCCTCTAAACTGTTTGGGGAAGACAAGACTGTCTGTATATCCATCTGCATGGAACGGAGAGGCTTCTCAGTGCTAAAATTATTATACTTTAGCATCAAAAAAGTGTTTAAAATGGTCATGCATAGTGACTGTTTCGATTAATGTGGTAGCTCTATGATTAGAACCACAATCAGTGAATTCAAATTTGAAATAAAAAGGAACTGAAAATTCTGATTTGATGTATCTACCTGAAGTGAAGTGTGTCAAGCGACATGTTTGAATATGCAGACTTTTTTTTGGTCCTTTTTCGGAATTCAACAATGTGAACTTCTGAACATGCTCCATGAAACAAAGCAAGTCATACGGGTTCGAAACGGCACTAGGGTGAGTAAATGATGACTTTTTTCAGTTTCTGTGCTGGGTTTAAAGAGCCAAACCCCATTACAAATAGCCAACATCAGTAAAATCGAAATCAGTTTAAAAAATGTTACCATGGGATGTACTGGAGTGTTTCTAGGCAACAGGTGACAGGCAGTAACAGGAAGTCGGAAAGACAGGACAGCGTGACACTGGAGTTTGGTGAGAGAGTGGAAGACATCTGTAGTTTCTTCTGTTTCCCTCAAAGTTTAAAGAACACAGTGCAGAAGCACAGCAGAGCAGATGACATGTTTATCCCCCTCCAGATCTGAAGAATAGACATAGAAATGAAGGAAAATAAAGGAGGAGAATCAATAGGTTAAATGATACAACTCACTGTGCATTGTTTGTATTCTTTATTTGCCTGTAAAATGAGGGCCATATGAGTAACTTCTAATCAAGAAGTAATTTAATCAATTGTGTGATTGAAATGGCAAGGGTCATTGATTTTACTAATCAATTTCTATTTTGCCGTTAGAAAAAAATTATTAATAGACTTGTGTTGTAATTTAAAGAATTTTTGTAAAACGAGCCAAAAATTTAACCGTTGCTCATCATTGAGGGATTAAGAGTTTGCTTACATTCTTCTTCTTTTCTTTTTTCTTTTTTAAATAGCCTTTATTAATTTTTTATCCTTTATTAATTTTTATATTTTCAACTTTTTTTTAACCTTTATTTAGTGTAATGACAGGAAGGATGGAGGGTTGGGAAAGGTCCACAAGCCGGGATTCGAACTCGGGACACCCGTATCGCAACAGTGCTGACCAGCTTTTAAACTTTTGATATTATAATTTCACCAGTTTTATTTTAGTAGTTTTGTAAAAGGATTTTATAATACTTCTAACAGGATAGAAAGTGAAGCTGAGGACACTGGAAAAAACTTTCAAATTATTACAAATTAAAACAAGGTTTTTATTAAAGAAAGAAAAAATGAAATAAAATGTGTAATATTTCTTAATAAATTTGTAAGTTATGTTATTTCAGCACCTTTGCTTTCTTTCTTTCTTTTTAATTGTTAGTTGTGATCTAATATGATCTGGGGAAAAAGTACACTGCATAAAAGGAATGACTTGCCACATTAATGAAATTTTTACATTTTTTCATATAATTACATGTATTGTGTAAATGTATTATTCTAAGAGAATTTTAGCAACCAAAAATCAAGCATGAAGAGCAGTTGTTAAATTGAAAGACTGAGGGCTTGGTATTTTATAAAACTGATGGTAAAATGACTAAAAAAGAATTGAGTATATTGCATAGCACAGTTTACATGTTGATGTAGACACAGATAGCAATGTTCTGCACTTATAGTTAATATGAGCAAAACATTCATATGTTTTCATTTTGTAGAAATATATGTTTTAGTTGCAAGTCATAACTTGCACTTAAACCAAATATAAAGCCATACACAGGCAAAATGTAATCATCCATCACTATGGGGGGAAGACTTGAGAATGCAGGGATGATTTGTGACCAAATTTTGTTAAGCAGCATAAATCAGAGAATGGCTAAAGAGAAAATAGTTCAATGGTTGAAATGTCCATGTCTATGGACAATGATCCAAAGCACACATGGTTCACTGCTCACATAAGGAAGGTTTTGAAGAGATTTTGTAGAGGAATGGTCTCAGATCTCTTGCTTTATGTTCATCAACCTTACTACACATGATAGGATAAGATTATCATGGCAAAGGGTGGCTGCAAAATGAAAGAATGCCCTCTTTTAATTGTGGAATATAAATATTTCTGTATACACGTTTCATCATAAGATCAAAAGACAGGTTTTTCCCCTTTTAACTATTTTACTCAAAATAAAGGTTAGATTTCTGTGAATATTTTGAAAGATCAAAAGGACAATTTGAGACATTATTTGCACATATATACCAAGGTGTATTTGTGGAGGAGGCTGTATTTGCTTCAAAAATGTGCAATCTGAATCTTAAAATGACAAGATATCTGATATGAAATCATACTCAATTAGTGAATATTAATAGTGTTTGACAACAATAATGGCATTATTATAAATACCAACTAAACTGGTCTTTTCATACAAATTAATTTTTCTAATATTGTTTTACTAACAACAACAGATCAGTTAAACATGCCAATGTTATTGTACTGGTAATCCAATAAGATGTGCATTATAACTATGTAATGGAGTTCGGGAACAAACGTGATGCATTGATTGGAGCATTGAAATGAATTTGTAATGAAGGAAATGCAAACATAAAAATAAATAAATAAATAAAACAGAATAAAATAAAACTCAGAGAAACTAAATGGGCAGACGAAGATGTGAAAACAACTTGTGCAATATGTGCTAGGTGGACATGGATGTATGAAATCACATCATGTCTTGTTGGGCAGTGTCATACCTTCCTCTTCTGATATTTCTGTAATCAAGAAACAAAACAGAGAGAGAAAAAATGGGATTAAATTATGCAAAAGTAAATGTCACATTAGAAATTGTGCTGCATTTCCCATAAAAGTAAGATCAAGACATTAACTACTGCAGCCTATAAATAATAGGGCAATGCAATAAATAAAATGTTTTTAAGATTGTTTTATGCATTTCTGTGCATGACCGTGTATTTAATCAGAGTTATCAGAGAACTACTTTTTGCACTTGACACTAAACTACGGCCCTGTCCCAAATGGAACACTTCATGTGCACTTGCGGTCTTACGGACTTACAATGACCGCCGCGTGTCCGTTAAGTTTCCCGTTGGGTGTCCCATTTGTCATGTTAGCATTCAGAAGGGTGCTCGCGAGTGCCCCCCTTTGCGGCCGTTATGCGCCCTTGATCCGCACTTCTGCTGAGCCCGCACTGGCTCGCAGCAGACTTCTACCCGACAGTCAAAGCGGCTTTACGTCACGAAAGTGCGGACTCAGAGGCAGACTGAGTTTAGGGTTTAGGGTGACATTTGGGACAGGGCCTACACAGTTAAGGGTGGAGGAAATACTTTAAATGAGTTGCATATGTCAAAATAAGGTACTCCCTGGTCAGGCTTACTTTGTTTGCTTTCTAATCTCATGTTTCAGAATGATTTTTTGTTGTTGTTGATGTTAATAAAAACATTTTAGAAACCCTTATAAAAAAGGGGAGAATACTCCCAGAACCAAGGCTGCTGAAAAAGCAGGAAGTCATTGTTGTGCTCTTTTACAACTGAAATAAGAAGTGAAAGAGGAAAATGCTACTCAGCAGCTTTTTTGCAGTAATTGTGGATGTCTTACTTGAAGCCCCAGCCTGTTCCTCCCAATACTATAGCTGCCAGCAGTATCGCTCCCGCTATTGAGCCAATGATGATGTTTGTCCCACTCGGACCTGTGGACAGACAAACAGAGAACTAAAAACATGGATTTGTCATTAGTTTTCTGTTATTCTTGTTATATATTTTTAGTCATGATTTTGTCATGTGTTTTCATTTTAAAGGTTAGTTTTTAGTCTAGTCTTGTTTCTTTTCTTCCTGTTTCCTGTAATAATTGATTTTAGCTTTGACTCAAACAGTGGGCTCATGCTCTCTGAAGGAGGAGGCAGTGACATCTTGTGGTAACATTTGGTCTCACTTCCAATTATTTGAGCTTCTAACCTATCAGAATCTTAGAAATGACTGATGATTTTGCATATGCTTAGAAGTTAGTGGTTCCTAAACATTTTGAAATCAAGAGACTCCATTATAAATAAAAAATAAATACATAAATAACTGAAAGGTTTTCACATGAGCACACAGCATGGGACACACCAAAAGTCAAATATTCCAAAAACGTGACAAAAAGCCAATTGCGAACCCACTGATAAGCTGCTTGACCGATTTGATTTCCACACAGAATTCCTTGTTATATCTCTGAACCCGTAAAGGCTCAGTGCTGAAGCTAACTGAAACCTGATTAAACATTTAAAAAATCCCATTCCAAAAACAGGCAGAGACGCTAGTCCAACTAAAGCCGAACACCCGCATGACTGAATGTGTTGGGAACCTTTGTACTTCTCAGGACCGTCTGGAGGCTGGGGGTCTGGAATAGGGTCATATACACTGCAGTCCTTCCCAGTGTAGTCTGCATCGCAGATACACTTCACCTCATTACTGCACGTCTGAGACAGAGAGAGAGGCAGAGAATGTCATAAGCATAAAGATGGAAATAAATACCTTGGCTCATACACACTACAGTGTAACAAAACTTTCTGGACAGTTAAAGGTTCAGTGAGAAATACGGATGTAAGACAATTCTATTAATCTGACACATGGTGAACAGAGTCAACACTGTCAATTTTATCACTGCTTATTACATTTGAAAAATCTTAAACTTACATCAGACACGGCTATTTTTCACTTAAGACAAACGATTGTATTTTCATTGTATTGTTTACTCTCGCTTACTGCAAAACTGACCATTATCTAAATCCCTTAATTTCTTTCTCGCATCAGAGTTTTCAATATCCTGCAACATCTGATCATTTTTCATTAATACTTTTTTTTAAAAAATTGCTTACTCTCGCTTTGAACAAAACAGACCAATATTTTAAAAAAGGATGAGAGAATATACCCTACATAAACCCTCAAAACAGTATGTGACAGTGATTTCTCAAAGAAGAACAGCTCACCCCATGATCAGAGCACACGTGAGAAGAGGATGACCCAGGACAGGATGACAGGTTGAAGGTGGTGACCGGCAGACAGCGATGGTCCAGGCACATCATATTAGGACCACACGGGGTGCCGTCCTCCACGTACCCGAGATCAGTGCCATCTTCTAACACTGCATGACCCCCACTGAACATAAACAAACAGCTCAGTTTTACACACTAATGCACACTGCAAAGTAGGGATGGTTACTTGGAGCTCCTTCCTTTAAATAGAATAAAACAGAGGGATCTGGAGATAAACAGTGTTTATTTTCTAACACACTCTCGTGGCAATTTGTAACTGTTTCAAATGAATTTGTACAATCTCATCTGTATGTTTTTTATTTTGCTTTTTGCCCACTGATGGTTAGATTTAGAGTTTGTTTCCGTATGAATCACATTGTACAAATTCATAAGAAACCAACTCATAAAGTAATTGCATCCTCTCATGAGATTGGGTTATTTCTTAACCTAAAAGAGCTATTTTTAAGACACTCATGGTGTGAGGTGCTGCAAAAGCAGCAACCAAATGCAGCAGTCAAAGTCCTAATTTCATTTTAACCAGCATCTTGATTTCCAGTAAAATTATCTGGACATGCTTAAGATAATTAACTATACCCAAGAAAAAATTAAAATTTGCATTTACCGACAATCCAGGTACTTGTTCTGATGGTAGATGGTAAGACTTGTGATTTCTCCATTTAAGTCTCCATACCGTGGTTTCGCTGTGACATTAGTGCATAATAAAAAACCGCACAACACATCCCTGTGAACGAACACGGAAATAACAGTGGAAGACAGACAAAGAGGGGAAAAAACGATGCTCTATGTGTTTGATTACTAATGCCTGTGTAGCACGGCGTTGCACACAGAGGACACAAACGTTCAGCCTCGACTCTTTATCATCATTTGTGTTAAAATTTGCAAAGCATACTAAATTGAACAAAATTATATAAATGCAAAATTTGAATTCATGAATCTATAACGGTATCTACGGTATAGCAAAATCCATATCATGGAACAACATAATACCGGTAGTCACTTTCATACCGGTATAGCGCTCACCCCTACATATTGGTGCCTGTATATTTTACAAATAACCATAAATTTCATTAAGTGATATAATGTTAATACGCCAAGTCACTTGAACTACCAAAAACTAAATTATTTATTTAAAATATAAACATGTGTCATACTGTCAGACCTATGTTCCTGTTTTGTTGTATTTTCTCCCCATGTGCTCCTCATGACCCAGTTTCTCCCTCTCATTTGATTAGTCATTTGGTTCAGGTGTGTCTTGTCAATTACCCTCGTTTAGTCTTGTGTATATATAGTGGTGTCTGTTCCTGGTTTCTTTGTCCAGTGTTAATGTCATTTTGTTAACGTCCATGCAATGTTCTATGTGTGTGTTCCTGCCTGCCCTGTATTGCCCTTTGTTTTGGATCATTAAAGACTGTTCTTCGTATATCTCCATCTCCGTGCTCCTTCGCTCCTACACTGTAGACAGCGTGACAGAACACTGGACCAACAAAGATGAACTGGGCTGAAGACCAGCTGTGGTGCCTGTGGCAGGGTGGTAGTTGTTTTCAGTTGGGTCTGGATGAGGAAACGATTCGCTGTAGTCTTCCTGCGTGTGAATTCTCTTTAGTCGAGTTGATTAATCTCAATCTGTATTTAAATGGTTAAAATTTTGAAGTAGAAGAAGTTAAGGGAAATGTGAATTATCCTCATCCAGCCCCCTCTGAAGCACACTTCGCCTCTCCAGCTCACCCAATGCAGGGACTCTCCACATGCCTAACCAATGGTTCCGATCACCCATATCCTCCTGTATTTCCCATAAGTGAGTTTCCAACAGCGCTGAAATCCGCCTCCCTTCCTCCGTTTCCAGCTCCCAGAACCATTCCGGTCCTCAGCCCAGAACCAGCGGGCTGAGCCCAGAGTGCCTGCTCCACTCTCAAGCCCACCGGCCACTCCACTCTCAGAACTAGCAGCCGCTCCACTGTCAAGCCCGCCGGCCGATTCACTCCCAAGCCCTTTGATGACAGCAACTTTCTCCTTCACCTTAAATCAAAAGAGGAGCATGAGGAGGAAGAGATGGTTTTCAACCCTGATCCACTCTCCAGAGTCCGCTCCAGGGTCGGCTTCAGCCCCCGAGTCTGCTCATTTCATCAAGTTCAGTCCAGAATCCACGACAGTCCAAACAAATTCGAGTCCGTTCCAAGCCCAAAGAGGGCTCCTATCCCTACGTCCGGCCCAGAGAGGGCTGCTGTTCCCATGTCAAGCCCAGAGAGGGCTCCTGTCCCCACGTCCGGCCCAGGGAGGGCCTCCGATCCCGAGTCAAGCTCAGAGAGGGCTCCTGTTCTCACGTCAAGCCCAGAGAGGGCTCCTGTTCCCACGTCAAGCCCAGAGAGGGCTCCTGTTCCCGCGTCTGGCCCAGGGAGGGCCTCCGATCCCGAGTCAAGCCCAGAGAGAGCTGTTGTTCCCCCGTCTGGCCGCCTAAACTGCCTGTTCCGCCATGGCCTCCTGAATTGCCTGTTCCGCCATGGCCTCCTGAACTGCCTGCTCCGCCTTGGCTTCCTGAACTGCCTGCTCCGCCATGGCCCCCTGAACTGCCTGCTCCGCCATGGCCTCCTGAACTGCCTGCTCCGCCATGGCATCCTGAACTGCCTGCTCCGCCATGGCATCCTGAACTGCCTGCTCCGCCATGGCATCCTGAACCGCCTGCTCCGCCATTGGCCCCTGAACTGGTACCATTCTGGGGGCTTCCCATCCCGTACAAGCCTATCCTAAGAGGCCTCCACGGCGTCCACTCTCCCACCCCCTTTGTTGATTGTATGTGGTGCGAGGACGCGCCTTCCAGGAGGGGGAGGTGATGTCAGACCTATGTTCCTGTTTTGTTGTGTTTTCTCCCCATGTGCTCCCCATGACCCAGTTTCTCCCTCTCGTTTGATTAGTCATTTGGTTCAGGTGTGTCTCGTCAATTACCCTCGTTTAGTCTTGTGTATATATATAGTGGTGTCTGTTCCTGGTTTCCTTTGTCCAGTGTTAATGTCATTTTGTTCACGTCCACGCAATGTGCTATGTGTGTTCCTGCCAGCCCTGTGTTCCCTTTTGTTTTGGATCATTAAAGACTGTTCTATGTATATCTCCTTCGCTGCTACACTGTAGACAGCGTGACACATTCAGGTAAGGGTTTTTACTGTAGCTTTTTATTGTATTTTCTGTAAAAACTTATTTTCTGTAAAAACATCTTTTACAGTGAAGCATTTAATGGTCTCATTCAGGGTCAGAAATGTCCATGTGCCGAATATTTTATTCTAGTGATGAGCTTAGAGGTTTAATGTTACTGCTGAGAAAGTAGTGACCTTTAAATATCAGGTTTGTTGTGTATTTACTGTCTCAGAGACCTATTTCTTAATCATTTACAGTATTTTTTATATTCAGTGATGATTTGATTTTACACAAATCATAATTGTTCATGTACAAAATGTATTCTAAAAGAATTGATGTGTTACACTTTATATGTACTAATATGTGTAACATGTTACTTTCATGTGACACTTTCCCTGACAAATACAACTGAAATTTCTTCTTTGCCATTCTGGTTGAAATCAGTAGTACAAGTCACTAATGTTGATGGAGATGTTGGTGAGTAAAATGGGTAGTTCTATAGAGTATGTGTCAAGCTTATCAGTGATGGAAAGGTTTTCTTTCAAATTTATGTTTTAAAAACATGTTTCTTTTAAAATAACCTTGGATACTAACTAACAACTAGGGACTAACAATGAACAATACATTTATAGCATTAATTCATCCAGGTTACTCTTAATTGTATGGTATATTATTAATTTGTAATAAATTTTTTATCATATTTTAATAACCCATATTTATGAGTTGCAAGCAGACATTTTTAAAACAAAAAAAATTTTTTTCAAAATGATTCATTGCACTATTTTAAAATCACTATGTAATCACAGCCATCATTTGATGCCATGCAAACCAATATCTAAATAGGAGCAAGTAATCTAAGGAAATTCATCTGACAAATTCATACAGCTCTAATATCCTGTCTGGTGCAGGTTATCAATATTAGCACAGTCCAGTTGCTTCTCCTCATCTGTGCCTCTATCATCACTCTTTTCTACAACCACCTCAAATCTTAAAATCACCTGAGTGCAGAGTTCTGCAGGCATCTTACGTTTCATTAATCATTAGTCTCTTTGTTTACATTAATATATTTAGATGCCTGACGAAGCATTATATGAATAATGTAAAATTAAAGACTGGAGATTTAACTAAAAATCTAAACAGTATAGATCTACACTGACTAAAACAATTTTCTCCCTCTCATTTGATTAGTCATTTGGTTCAGGTGTGTCTTGTCAATTACCCTCGTTTAGTCTTGTGTATATATAGTGGTGTCTGTTCCTGGTTTCCTTTGTCCAGTGTTAATGTCATTTTGTTCACGTCCACGCAATGTGCTATGTGTGTTCCTGCCAGCCCTGTGTTCCCTTTTGTTTTGGATCATTAAAGACTGTTCTATGTATATCTCCTTCGCTGCTACACTGTAGACAGCGTGACACATACAGGTAAGGGTTTTTACTGTAGCTTTTTATTGTATTTTCTGTAAAAACTTATTTTCTGTAAAAACATCTTTTACAGTGAAGCATTTAATGGTCTCATTCAGGGTCAGAAATGTCCATGTGCCGAATATTTTATTCTAGTGATGAGCTTAGAGGTTTAATGTTACTGCTGAGAAAGTAGTGACCTTTAAATATCAGGTTTGTTGTGTATTTACTGTCTCAGAGACCTATTTCTTAATCATTTACAGTATTTTTTATATTCAGTGATGATTTGATTTTACACAAATCATAATTGTTCATGTACAAAATGTATGCTAAAAGAATTGATGTGTTACACTTTATATGTACTAATATGTGTAACATGTTACTTTCATGTGACACTTTCCCTGACAAATACAACTGAAATTTCTTCTTTGCCATTCTGGTTGAAATCAGTAGTACAAGTCACTAATGTTGATGGAGGCAAAGCATACTAAATTGAACAAAATTATATAAATGCAAAATTTGAATTCATGAATCTATAACGGTATCTACGGTATAGCAAAATCCATATCATGGAACAACATAATACTTTCATAATACTTTCATCACTTTCAAGTCACTTTCATACCGGTATAGCGCTCACCCCTACATATTGGTGCCTGTATATTTTACAAATAACCATAAATTTCATTAAGTGATATCTTTGCATTATTAACTTGATGGTTTTAAATGTACAGTATAATGTGCTATATGCATTTTTAATAAGGGATGACTTGGGGTCATGGCTTAATTTTGTTGCGTTTACATTGTTGTTGCATTGAGTTTCTGTCACGTATCCGGTCCATGAACTTCCGTCTGCTAGCCATCAGAGGTCACCCTTCCCATTTCATTGACTCTTGCACTACACACTGTTGCATATCACCCCGGACTACATATCCCACCATCCACTGCACTAACGACACACACACTGTTGATTGCACAGCACTGATTGCACACAGCTGTTATCACTCACACATCCCCTATTTAACTCTCACTCTGATCCCATTGCACTGCTGAGTATTGTTTAGCGCATATCCTTAGATAGCTACACTACAGAGCCCTCATTAGTTTCCTTGCCTTAGCCTAGTTTTGCCTTGCCTTGCCTTGTCTGTTTTCTCCGGTTTTGATCTTCGCCTGTTTTCCTGGATTTCTCCCTTTAGCCTTGCCCCTGTGACTCTGTCTGCCAATCGTCGACCCACGCTAGCCCTAGGATTATTCTTGT